GTAATCATTTTACTTCTACTAACGTATATGAGTCCTGATGTTGCACTGCAGCATAAGCACTGGACTGTTAACCACAAGGTTGGAGGTTCAAACCTACTAGCTGCTCCTTGGAAATCCTATACAGGGTCGCTATGAGTTGGAACTGACTTGGGGACACTTAACAACAACCACAACACATTGAATCCTCACAACAAACCTTTGACGGAGGCTCCATTAGTATCCACATTTATAGATATACGGAAAGGTTAAGTAATTTGTCCAAGGTCACACAACTACTACGAAACTGATCTGGGATTTAAACCCAGACAGTCTGACTCCAGCCTTCATGCTTTTAACTACTATACTCCCCTCCCTTTTGATAGAGCCCCAGCCACTAAAACTTGGGAGCATCTCAGCAAGAGCATTATCAGATTGCTTCCATATTTTTAAGGCATTTTCATAATTGTTAAGTATTTATACTTAACATTTATTTATACATTTATACATTTATTAAGTATTTATACATTTATTTAAGTTAATTTATAATTAACTTAAATAAATGATGAACGGAATTCTTATCAAGGCCAGTATTATCTCTTTTTATATGCAGAATATTTAAATAATACCATGAACCTTAGCAGTGTATTTCATATTAGCATTCTCCAAGAGAGTATTACTGGTTTAGCACCTAGGTAATGTTCTCCTGTTGTGGCACTATAGGATATGGACTTGACTACTAACAACAAGGTTAGTGGTTCAAGCCCATCAGCTGCTCCTTGAAAACCTCATACAGGATCTCAAAGAGTCAGAACTGACTCCAAAGCACTTAACAACAACATTCTCACCTGAGAGCACTATGTTTAGAGGCAAAGATTTCCTGCCTTCCCCTTCCTCAAATTTGCGAAGATAGCTTAAAGTGCAAGTGTGCCCATTTTATATTCTTCACAGAATTTCACATTTCCTCTCCTTACCTGAAAAGGCAAAGAATGATACATCCGGTTGTTAGGGAAATCAGAGAGACACTGTACCCCAGAGTGTAAACAGCCTTCACCAGAATATAGAACTTGATCTACAAAAAAAAAACCAAAAAAAAAGATTTGTAAGCTGTTGGCGATCAGCATCAAATAACAGGTACAATTCATCCAGACCTGCCTGTACTTCCCTTTGTAAAGGAATCGCCCCTTCTAGAACATCTGGGATTGCACAAGACGGTCTATATTATTTTACAGTCCCACCTCCATTCTGAATCGAAAGCTTTATTAGCCACTTTTATATATTTAATTATGAATGATCTAGGATGGAATTCTCTACAGTGAATCTTCTGGAAGAAAT